GTGTCGTCGACGTCAAAATCGCTACTTTGGAACTTGGCAAACCATTTTCGTGCCGTAGACTCGCCTATGACACCTTCTCCGTATACGTTGCAAATGTCCCGGGCTGTTTTGGCAGCTTTTTCGATGAAAAGCGAAGGAGAGAAGGTGTCGAAAATGTTGCTTTTCACCTCCTGGATATTCCATTTCTAAGCCTCGAAAGTAATGAAAAATTGAATTACTCAAAAAGACGATTAGCACAGTTTTGTAGAGCAGAAAGAGCTCTATCGAATGAATATTATACGCTTTGTCGAACGGCAAAGAATCGTTGTAAAATAAAAAGAAAATATAAAAACGTTACGAGCTTATTCTCCAACCTAATATTGGGTTGGCAACTAAGTCAAACGCAGAACAGTAAAATCACTTAGTATCGTATGATCTATAGCAAGACTCGAATAATCGTATCTCCTCTCCCCAAATTGACCATTTTTCTGCACAATTTGAGCGTCAGTTGGGGAGACATTACTGTACATATTGAGCGACAATTGGAGAGAATTCACTGCAATAGATGAACCTAAGAAATTATTGAAAGATAATATTTCTGCATCAAAATCTGTCGAAACGAGATAACCACAATCTTTTGAATCTACTGCACAATTTATTCACGAATTTGTCAACTTAGCAATTGTCAACTTGTCAAATTAGCAATTATTACTATTGGGTTGGCAACTAAGTAATTGCCGATTTCAGTTATAGATGTATCTCACTCCCATTTTTATGATATCCGTAAATGTTATATTATAAAATTATTATTATTATTATTATGTTATTTTTTATTGTCCGTGAATGTTAGCAACTGGACAAATTGAATGCAGCGGTCAAGGAAAAGCGACCAGAATTGGTCGATCGTAAAGGTGTCATTTTCCAGCAGGACAATGCTAGGCCGCACACGTCTTTGTCCACTCGGCAAAAATTCATGGATATTGGTTGGGAATCGATGTTACACCCGCCATATAGCCCTGATCTCGCGCCATCGGATTACCACTTATTTCGATCCCTGAACAACTCCCTTCGTGGTAAAACTTTTAATGACGATGACGCTGTAAAATCTCACTTAACTCAGTTTTCGGCCGAAAAGAATCAGACTTTCTACGAGCGTGGAATTTTCAAGTTGTCAGAGAGATGGCAAGAGATCACCGAACAAAATGGAAAATACATTACAGATTAAACTTCGTTCCAAGTAAAAAAAATTTTTTATTTAATTGTACAAATCGGCAATTACTTAGTTGCCAACCCAATAGAAAGAATCGACCGCTGTGCATCCGTCGCACGGACAGCCGCGTTTTCCAGCCGTGTCACCTGTTTACCCGCGGATTGCGTTACGTGGGCCAGAGCCAGTGACGACACGATAATGGATCGATGTCGAAGGACACTCGTAGGTTTGCCCGGCGAAGTCACACGAGACGATTACTGGGATTTCATTTCATCGATCTGCAGCGCATTCTTGCATCAGAGACACGACCGACGGTTTTGCGTCACCGGAGAGCCAGCCGCGGCGTCCTCTCCGATCCACCTCGAATACGGAGGATTCATGAAAATCTCGCGAACGTTTTCCCGCCTTTTCCAATGCTTCCTCCTCCGTTCGATCGTCCAGTCCCACGCGACCCGTGCCCCGCAAAAAACCGCGAGGCTTTCGCGGCGAGATCGATGAATGCTAATAACGAGTTTGCCGCGCCGCTTAAGCACAGAGGCGTTCGCGGACTTATGAAAATGCATGCCTTCTCGGAGAACAGCCTCGGTCGGCGTGCCTCGGGGCATTTTAATAAACGGGGAACGCCGCGAATTTCACGTATCCCGGACCCGCGCGAATGCACCGACGGCTTTTCTGCGAACGGCTGGATTACTTAATCAGTTGGTTGGCTTTTTCCGAGCGTTTCCACGATTAAATTTCTTTCACCTAAAATTCACGTCCCATTAAAAATGAACCGACGACGTGCGCTGATCTAATTTATAATATTCGAACAATCCAATAAAATATGTTTCATAATTACGTTAACACCCGGAAAAGAGAGATACCTGAGGCAATTTCAAGCAACTTTTTCCTTAGCGAAAATGCAATACGCGGCTCCGTTTACGAGTTATTAAGCAAAAAGCAGTGACCAATGAGAGGCAAGCTCGGCTGCCGCGTGGAGACCGAGCCAACGGGCGGTCGAAGCCGAGTTCCGCTGATTGGCTCAGCCGCCACGCGCCAGCTGATCTCGCCTCTCATTGGTCACTCTTTTTCGTCAATAACTCGTAAACGAAGCCGCCGATCGCATTTTCGCCAAGGAAAAAGTTACTTGAAATCACCTCAGGAATCACACCTTTCCCGGTGTTAACATAATTATGGAACACCCTGTAGAGACACGAGGAAGAGAAGAAGAGAATAGCGCACCGCGGGGGACAAGACAGATCGCGTAAGATCATCGAACGGTACCTGGATCAGTACGATCAATCCGAGCGCGAAGAAGTCCGAGAGGCTGCAGTCTCATCGTCTCTTCAAGGCTATTATCAAACACCGGGCGACCCCCTATAAACATACACCCGCAACATAAAACCCATTCATTCCTAAAACGCACTTGAAACGCGCGCCGTTCCCTTGATGCCAGTCAGACGACGCATTAAAAGCACGGTCTTGAGGTCTTCAACCACTCGGTCTCGCGTCCCGTTTATGGCTGCGAATGGAACGACCAAGATGTCTTACGTCTTCCGGCATCATCGTATCGCTTGATCCCGCGGATAATCATTCTCTTTCGAGAAAGAGAGAGCGAGAGCGCGAGAGAGTGAGTGCGCGAGAGAGAAGAGCGCGAGAGAGATGGAGCGAGAGAGAGAGAGAGAGAGAGAGCACGAGAGAGAGAGAGCGCGCGAGAGAGAAGAGCGCGCGAGAGAGAAGAGCGCGCGAGAGAGAAGAGCGAGAGAGAGAGAGCGCGAGAGAGTGAGAGCGCGAGAGAGATAGAGCGCGCGCGCGAGAGAGAGAGAGAAAGAGAGCGCGAGAGAGAGCGCGAAAGAGATAGAGCGCGAGTAAGAGAACGCGAGAGAGAGAGAGAGAGAGAGAGATCATTCTCTTTCGACTCGCTCGGCTATCAGATCGCGCGTTCGCGAGGGTCTACTTGAAAGCGGAAAAATAATATAAAAGTAAATGGTACTTCTGACGGATGGTAAAGAGCGATCTTTGGTCTTGCTCCTGCGTCGAGGGCGGCCCCCGTTCGTTCTTCAGCTATTACGCGCGTTTACACCGTTTGCGTAACTTTAATTGAATCGCGGCGGAAACCGCACGAATTCCAAGCGCAGTATATGAATCGATCGCCGGACATTCGTTGGTGCTTATTATCTTTAATCGTCGCGTCGACAGTTTTAATTCGCTTGTTCTTGTCTTGATCCGCACGAGAACGCAGAGACTTTCTCAGCGTTAGCTTTGACGTGGGTTCTTAAATGCAATTTTCGCTTTTGTGCGTTTATGGAATAACATTCGCGCTTAACTCTTTGGGGCACAGGATTTTAGAGAATAGAATGGACCAATGTTGCACAGAAATTTTATTGCGCTTTAAATTAAACAAAATTGTTATATTTTTATTTACGTTAGATTTACGGAACCCGTCAAAATGACGGGTCACTGATTTTTTTAAATTTACGATTATTCAAATCGTGTAAAGATACGTTTATGAGTTATTTATACAATTTATATTTGTTATTTATGGCAAATGTTACGATAACGCTTGTTCGAAATCAGAATGAATCTCTTATTGTTACTTTTATAAACTAGTAGAAAACAGCTGTTTTTTTGTGCTCCGTAAATCTAATGTTAATAAAGGAATCACATGATATATGAAAACATAAAAAAGTAATAATACATATTTCTCACCATACGTCTCCATAACTGACACGCAAATTGTGCACAAAAATGGATGCACTATAATAGATGAACCTAAGAAATTATTGAAAGATAATATTTCTGCATCATAATCTGTCTAAACGAGATAACTATAATCTTCTGAATTTACTGCACAATTTATTCACGAATTTGTCAACTACCAAATTAGCAATTATTACTAGTTACAGTAATGTCTCCCTAATTGACGCTTAGATTGTCCACAAAAGTGGACAATTTGGGAAGAGGAGATACGATTATTCGAGCCTTGCAGCTCGTTTTTATAGTCGTTGACAATTCGCGACTATAAAAACGAATCGCAAGGATCGAATAATCATATCTCCTTTTCCCAAATTGTTCATTTTGTGGACAATCTGAGCGTCAATTAGAGAGACATTACTGTAATTCGATTCAATTCGACTCAAATTAATAAAAATGAACAATTCGGAAAGAGAAAATACGATTATTCGAGCCTTGCAGCTCGTTTTTATAGTCGTTGACAATTCGTGACTATAAAAACGAACCGCAAGGATCGAATAATCATATCTCCTGTTCCCAAATTCTCCATTTTGTGGACAATCTGAGCGTCAATTAGAGAGACATTACCGTAATTCGTTTCAATTCGACTCAAATTAATACAAATGAACAATTTGAGAAGAGGAGATACGATTATTCGAGCCTTGCAGCTCGTTTTTATAATCGTTGACAATTCGTGCCTATAAAACCGAACCGCAAAGCTCGAACAATCTTATCTCCTCTTCCCAAATTCTCCATTTTGGTGCACAATCTGAGCGTCAATTAGAGAGTCATTGCCGTAATTCGATTCAATTCGACTCAAACAGCCCCTCACCGTGCCACATGGGTTCACGTGTGCGCATACAGCTATTGCAATATTTCGAGGTATTTCTACAAAATTGTCCCAGCATGCATTATCCAGCACGCATCAAAAAGATACGAGACATTTCTAATCCCACCCTGCCCCAAAGAGTAAACAGTGTATTACGAGAAATCGGCGTCGCTCGACTCGTCAAAGTACGGCAGGAGAGGGTGTCTGCACATTCGATGACTGCGTTTCGACGAAAGATAACACGATGGTTCTGTCTGTTCTGGTCTCTAGGCTCACGTAATCGCCAGACGCGCTGCACCGCACTGCGTCGCTGGTACTCCACAGTAGTCCGAAAGCCGAGGAATCCGGTGGTGCATCTAAATAGGGAGGACACTGGTGGTTGAAGAGGGACCGAACGCGCCGAACGGGCGAAGACGAACGGGGGGGAGACCGGTGCAGGCCACCGGTGCGGGACGCTCTCGAGCCCTTCTTGCCTCCAGGATGTCGTACGCCAACCGATTCCCGGCTTCCCAGCATACTCGGTACCGCAGCAGCTGGGGGCCAACCTCGACGACTGTGTTCAATCGCGCGGACGTGCCGAGGCCCTCGCCGGAAGAGGAAGAGTTCGCCGAGTTTTATCACGAGCGTCTCCACTCGGCCCAGAGCAGACAGTTGCTGCCGCTGCAGGAGGACCTCGCCGATTGGATCAATAAAACGTTGAGTGAGTACACGCTTTAGCACCCCGACATCCACCTAAATAACCGAGGCGAGGACCCGGGCCTCTTCTCGCGTCGTCGCACCGTCGTGCGATCTTGTGGGCGTTTGGGACAAAGGTCATGATTTCTATAGTAATTAATTTTCGACTTGAGTACGTTAATAATTTTTTTTAATAGGGAACGGAAAGGTGAATCGATTTGTATATAAATAATATATAGTTATGTTTAAAAAGTTGCAATGATTTTGTTTTTTTGTTGAATGAAAAGGTTGGTTGGGTTATGTTGGGTTAGGTTGAGTTATGATGGGTTAGGTTGGCTTAGATTGGCTTAGGTTGGCTTAAGTTGGCTTTGATTGGCCTAGGAGGGGATTATGTTAAGGTTATGTTGACTTAGTTTGGCTTAGATTGGCTTAGGTTGGCGTAGGTAGACTTAGGTTGGCTTAGGTTTGCGTAGATTGGCTTAGGTTGGTTTAGGAGGCTATTATGTTAAGGTTATGTTGACTTAGGTTGGTTTAGGTTGGGGATTATGTTAGGTTATGTTGACTTAGATTGGTTTAGGTTTGCTTAGGTTGGTCTATTATTATATCTAGAGAGAAATTACACGGGACAATTCCGTGGAGTTTATTAAGCTCTATCGTCGAGTGGTTTGATTTTTTATAAAACAGCATCGTTAAAATTACCGATACCATTTATGCAATAAATATTATTAAATGTATGAAAATTGTGTTATATTTCAATTCAAAGACGGACAGAATTTTCCGGTAGACCTAATATATTTTGTAAAACTTACTTCATGTTTTCTTCGAAATAAAACCGTGGCACCCAGGGCAAGACGCGCTAAATTTGCGTCGCAGTCAATGGGTTAATTAATACCCTTCGGATCGATCCGAGCAATACGGAGCTGTTCCACGGAATGCATACATACTTTTGACCGATGAGCGAGGCCCGCATTCAGGGCCAGTGATTCAGCTTTCCGGTCGGAATATCCGATAGCCATTAGCCGATAATCAGTGATTCCTCTGATCGATGAAGGGAAGCCACGGAAGTTCGGCCCGTGTGCATCGCATAACGCCGCCGATGCGAACGCAACGCCTGTCCGCCTATCTCGCCGATCCATCGCCGAAGCTCCGCACCTGGACGCGCGGCGAATTTCTCCCGCGATTTTTACGCAATCCCCTAATACAACTTCTTCCGCGGGTGGAAAGCGCGGATCTGAATATTCATGCCCGCCACGGTCCGGCCATCGATTTTCGCGCGAACGAAAGTTGCGCCGGTGACGCAACGATAATTCGGAGAAGAGTTCGTTTCGCGCCCGAAGCTTCCGGATCCCGTTCCTCTTTCTTTCTTTCTTCTTTCTCGAGCGTGTGAGTAAGTCGGTAACTCGCGAGTTGTGATAAGTTGTTGTGTATAATATAAATAATTATAATATTATAGACACTATAGATATTATAAATATATTGTATAATATAAATAATTATAATATCATAGATACTGTTGATATATTATAGGTACGATTGTACAATATAAATAATTATAATATTATATCATAGATACTATTATATGAGAAGCAATGTCGATGAGAAGTAATTATAATATTACAGACACTATAGATATAATAGGCACGACGCGCCACTATAGTGGCTCACTCTAGTAGCTCACTAGCTCTCCGTTTGAATTAAATAATCATCTTCCTATGCATTGTTTCACATTTCTTTTGTCTTCACATCGATTCACAACAGTGTCCTCGGGTCATTTAGAGCAACTTTTTCCTTTACAAAAATTTTCTCCGAGGCACCATTACCGAGTTATTAACGAACAAACAGTGACCAATAAGAATCGAGTACGGCTGACGCGAGGCGACCCAGCCAACCAGCGCGCGAAGCCCAGTTCCGCTCATTGGCTCGATCGCCTCGCGCCAGCCGAGCTCGCCTCTCATTGGTCACTGTTTTTCGTTAATAACTCGTTAACGGTGCCTCGCAGAACATTTTTGTAAAGGAAGAAGTTGCTTCAAATGATCCGAGGAACCCGCCACTTTCGGATTGCGAGACATTTTTGGGACACCCTGTATAGTTGGAATATACAGTATTAGACTCTGAACAGTACATATGAGAATCTGCCGTCCAGGGAAATAGTCTAGCGCAGAATTCACTCGTACCTAAAAGATTAATCGGACGATGATCGCAGCACGCACGGGATGTGGCCAGGGCTGCGTTCGCGCGGGGTCTCGTGCGAGCACAAAAGGCTCGCATCTGGCACCACGTGGGAAAGGACATTCGTAACATTTGGCCTTTCGTTTCGTCGCGTTTTCGGCGGCCTGTCGCGCGAGCACGCGCGAAGGAATCGCTCGGTAACATCGGGACCGTCGCCGGCTCGCGAACGGAATTTCAGACGCGGCGCTCCGATTTCATTCGCTAATTCCAGCCGCGCGTTACGTAATCCGATTGTCTCTCTTTCTTGTTTCGAGTAATCGAATTTTTCGGAGATACTATGTACATTTTGCTCTTATGTAGCTATTAAATTATATTATAATAGAGAGCTATTATATTATATTATAATTAGCTATAAAGTATATAATTAGCTATATATATTTAATACATTTGTTTATATTGAAAGAATTGTTAAAAGTGTAGTAAACTGATTTTCACATGCAAACAATACAAAAATAGTACACAACATTGGAAGAAATATCTTAGTCTTGAAGTTAAAACAGCTTCGAGTGCAAAGGGTTAATCTTTGGAATGCGACAGAGCTCCGAATAAAGTAACGATATAGTAAATACAATATCCGTCGATATGCTGTAAAGATATTTATGTCTGACTAAACTAAACTGTGTTTGCGATTTCTTAATGTACAATCGCAACTTTTCGACCAATCGTTTATCCGATCCATCGATCTCCCTCAGCTTCATTTTTAAACGAACGAGGCGAGGGTGTCCTCGATTTATTACGTACGGCCGAGCATCAATTTTCTATTTCCGGATAATTTTCTCTCCGAGGAAAACACGTTACAAGCATCTAAGCTACTAAATGATCTGTAACTTCGTTATTTCCGCGAACTCGACCGCATAATTCTCAGCTCACATTTTTTCGAAACGCTGTACTTTCGTTTTATTAAACGGTCGAAAGACTCGAGACTCGGCTCCGCTTCCGATGAACGCGCGAACGTTTGGCGCGGCCGAAGCAGATCGCGAACAATGAAAATCATTGTAATCGGATCGAGCGAATTTTGCCGAATCTCTGTGCTCGATGCGAGCTCGTTCGGAGCTCTTAAGATTTCTTGTACGAATTTCGAAGATATTGGGTTGGCAAGTAATATATATATGATAGATGCAATTGTATAACATAAGTAATTGTAATATTATAAATAAATAATATTATTATAGACCCTGTAGATATTATAGACAATAATTATAATATTGTCGATATTTATATTATACAATCGTACCTCTAACATCTACAGTATCTATAACATTATAATATTATAATGTTACATAATATTATATATAATATTACACAATCGTATCTCTTCTTCCCAAATCGTCCATTTTTCGTGCACAATCCGAGCGTCAGTTAGGGAGGATTCACTATTATACTTCCGTCGCGTACGTTTTCTCCAGGTGGCACAGGCTGGTCGAACAAAAGCTCGAACCGATCGATGGGACTAATCTCTGCCTTCTCCTCAATTTCATAAAGCAGATTGCCTTCGCGAACGTCGATGCCCGATATTCCGGATTCACGATACGTTCGCGAATTTCAAAGCCGGTGAAAGTTTTCCCCGATTAGACTGGATCTCTCGCGAATAACCGTGGCACGTTCCTAGAAGCATCGCGCCGATTGGAAGAACCTGAAAAGTTTCCTTTTTTTCCCCTCTCCGGTTCCGCTCGAGATAACGCGGGGGTTGGGTTCGACCAGTTACGAATCGCTCGTTTGTTCGATCGCGCTTCACCTACTTCTTCGCTCGGAATCGTCGTCGCCGCTTCCGATTTCTCCGGCCGTTTTTCGTGTCCCGTCAACGTTTTTACGACACCGGCGATTTCCATGCGAACTCCGCCGTGTTTCATCGGGATCGCGAGAAATCGATCCGTTTCGAATAGTTTTGGTCGCCGAACGTGCCGCAAATAGCTCGGTCGATGGGAAGAACTCCGACGAGAATCGGGCGACGACGAGTATACTCGTCGGACGCGAAACAAGCGTCGCCGTTAAAATATTTGGATCGGGAAGACGGTTTTATTTTATGAGATTGACTGTTTTGTTGCTAATGTTTACTTATTCGCTTAATATTAACGTACACTATATACGCGATAAACGAAAAACGCAGGAAAAATCGAATACTTACGAAATAATAATAATAATAGTAATAATAATAATAATAGTAATAATAACAACAATAATAATAGTAATAATAATAATAATAGTAATAATAACAATAATAATAATAATAGTAATGGCACTTTGCACGTCGAACACTAATATTACTATAAATAATTATTCTACTAAAGAACTATTCATATAATTATACTTGTTTTATTATTATTATTATTTATTAATTATTATTTATTATTTATTTATTATTATTTTTTATTATTATTTATGATATTGTGCAAATTTTTCGAGTTGATATTTGGCACTTATTGCGTTAAATAGTCGCTGCTTTTTACGCGCGACGAGTATACTCGTGACGCAAAGTACTGCCACTTCTCCGCGACGAGTATACTCGTCAAACGCAGCTAACTTTTTAATTAGAACTTTTTGGACCTTATGCGTGCGCAACAAGGTATATAGACTGGATTTACTATATTTTTGTCTATTCTTTGAGCGTAGTTACACCGATTTAAGCATTACTGCATTCTGCATTGTTCCCCGGTCCTTCGATGTTCGAATTCCAAATCCGAGTCCAAATCCGTCTCGAAGACAACTCTAATGGCAAACGATTTACTGTTACGGAACAATAAAGTGAAATCTAGCACTGTAACCAAGTAACTGTTCTATTATCCGAACAGTCATGTT